GCCAGGGGGGTGGCGTTTCCCGGCGTTCCGCCACATGGTCTATCAGCGGGGTGACTCGGGGTCTTGCCCTTGTGGAGGTGTGCGGGGGGGGGCATTAAGTGCTCGCGTTCGACGGCCAAACGACGCCATCTCCCAATGTTACGTATTTGTAGAAACCTCGTATGCCTCATGGCGTGAGTTCGTTTCCCAGTTAAAGTAATCTTTTATTTTTCAACAATTTTGTTGGCTTAAAAAAAACAAATAAACAACAACAACAACATATTTTCGATTATTTTAATGTTTGAGTGGGGTTAGGGTGGTTAGGGTTAGGGGACCATTGTTGGGTAATCAGAGTTTCAGAGTTATTTATATATCCCCGTAGGAAGGTATAGAACATTCTGTCTACATCTGTCCAGTTACTATTTATCGACAGCTATATTATACATAACTCCGATTTCTAATGTCTAGTCACCATCTCACTTTACTGCCCAATAACTCTGTCTTTGCTGCCTGGCAACGCTGTCTTTGCTGCCTTAAACTTTCGGGTAATCATTAATGAACAGGTAAATGTATCCTATTTCTGTACAGCAATACTCATACAAATGAATGAAATAGTGAAACGAGGTATGTGGAAGCTTGAAATAAGGTAACCTGTTACCTTATTTCAAGCTTCCACATACCTCGTTTCACTATTTCATTCATTTACATAGCTTGAAAGCAGTCCCTTCATTTATTAATACTCATACAAGCATGTGACTTTTTATAAACATTAAAAAAAAAAAGCTCTGAAACGTCAATGAAATGATTGTCTCGTTATTTGTCATTCGTCACCCGTCAAAAACATGTTGGTCTTCTCAAAACCACAACGTGTTGGTGAAGGTGCTAGAAAGCTTCCAGTTATGTTAATACGCTTGACAGGAAGTATTCTGTTGTTGTTTTTTTTTATATTATTATTATCATTTTAATTTTGCCTACACTATGGTGTAATACTCAATAATTAGGCCTGAGTCTCAACACTTCTTTCCACTCTTACCTAAATGATCATTTTCTTTCCCATGCTTTATTTTCCCAGCTGCTGTTTTTATGATCATCCATACCTCTAGGCCTATGTCTGCCTTTTGGGGCTTTGGTGGTACACCATCTTCATTCCTCTGTCATGTGACATTCTTTCTAAATTTCCCGCTTAACGTAGCTATCTCATGTACCGTTAGGTTAAATAGCATGCAAGGCAGTGTCTTAAAACTTGTCTAATTTCAAATTCACTTGAATATTCTAATTGGGCCTTGGTTTTGGGTTTTTAAATGTTATACTAATCAGTCTGGTAAATTTGTTGGTTATGCGAAATGCCTGCAGAGTCTCATATGCATATTTTCTTTTGATGCTGTAATAGGCCATTTGATAGTCAACATATAGGTAATCAGGATGCACTGGTGTATTATATTAATAACATTTCTCTAACAGGCATCTGATGGTGAAACTCAATAAGTAGCTGATCTCTTTTGTCTGAATCGACATTGGTAGTCACCTAGTATTTGTTTAGTGTATGGTTGTAGTCTTTTGGCAATTACTTTAGTCTGTTTTCTTTACGTAGCATTTAATAGGGAAATTTCTCTATAGTTTGTGAATTGAAATTTCGAACTTTTTTTGTGTATTGGGGTTATTATTGCTGTTCCCATTCTATTGATATGCTCTATTCTTGCCAAATTTAAGTTACAAGTTCACGTATCTGAGTGTGTAGTTGTCTTCCTCATATTTAATAACTTATGGGGTGATGAGGTCTTCTCCGGGGGTTTTGTGGCTTTTCATAGAGTTAATTAATTTGTAGTTTCTTCCAATTTTTGGGAGTTTATTAAAAGGTCTGTTCCTTCATGTGGTGGTTGATAATCTTTATCGTGTCCATTGTCTGCATTTAGTGTTCCTGCAAAATATTCAGCTCACATCTCAGGTATTTTAAGATTTTCCATAATTAATTCTCCATCATTGCTCTCACAAATTTACGATGTGGCTTGGCATCCATTCTTTTCGTCTTTTATCTTCATGTACATTCCTCCGATGTTTCCTTTTCTTGATAAGTCTTCAATTTCATCTAGTTTAGCATTTTTCCATTCATTTTTTTTCTTCCGACACATTTTCGTGGCTTTCAATCTGGCTTCATTTTATATTTGTCTCGTCTATCTGGCTTCATTTTATATTTGTCTCGTCTATCTGGCTTCCGTTTGTATCATGGTCATTCGTGCCTTCTCCTTTCTTCGACAGTCTCTCTGCATTCATTATTAAACCAGCCTACTCTACAGTTGATTTGATAAAATCTTGCTACTTCTTCTGCTTATCTTTTTATAACAAGTTTACCCCATCCCACTGTTCATTTATTTTGTTGTCTCTGTTTATTTCCTCCTGTGCTGCTACTTCATTTTATTAAGCTTCTGTGGTTAGTGGGCCTTTGGTAAGCTTTTAATAATCATCTCATTTTTCTCTTTGACTTCGGTCATTGTGTAATATCAATATTCTCTGCTTATATTTAATCATTACCAAACAATTTCAGAGCCTGCATCTTGTCCTCGATAGCTTCTTACGTATAATGTGTCTGATCCATGTCTCTAATCTATTAGAACGTGGTCAATTTTGTTGTGAGTGATTCCATCTTGTGATATCCAAGTAACGTTATGTAAATTTTTGTGTGAAAATTTGGTGCTGCTGTCATCACTTTTCCTGAAGCAAAGTCTATGCGTCGTATCCCATTGTCATTGGGTTCTTCATGCAGACTCCCCTTGCCAATAGTTGACATAAATACTTTTTTCTTTCCCTATTTCGGCATTAAAGCTGCAAATCACCGTTTTAATATCATGTCGTGGTGTCTTATCATAGATCCAGCGTGTCATTAAAGAATTCATTTATCTGACCTTCTTTATCTTCGTTTGCAGCAAGAAAATTTAAAAAGTTTAGATTAAACAGCAAAAAGCATAACATTTCATAGTTAATTAAAAACGTACAGCTGAACTGAGTTTTTTTTTTCTTCGGTGCAAATTCTGTTCCAAGAGTGTTAGTGTTTTGACAATGTCCGCTATTTTCCATCGAGTGTCTTGCAGTGTCGCAATAGAAATTTTATCTTTAAATATCTTTTAGGCTGGCTAAGACTCCTGTTTGAAACAGGCTTAGTATTTTCCAAGTCGCAATCCAAAATGTATGTCCATATCCAGGCAGAGGTCGATCTCCATTGGATTAAGTCCGAGTTTTTCTTTGTTCTTTGGCTTTCGTCACGTTTATTTATTTTTTTTACATGGCCGGGTTGTAAGCCCTGCTCAGGGGGGGGGGGGGGGGGGGGGGGGGGGCGGGCGCTGCCCCTTACAGCAATCTCGGTAGCTGTCTTAATTTTTGGGTAAGATTCCTTAGCCTTTGGGGATCCCTCCATTTTCTGGTAGTTTCTGATTTTTGTCCGCCACCTGGGGAGGCACTCGATGGAAGTTCAGTATCTCCACCCGAGGGGCTGGAGCTCAATCCCCAGCAAATGCATAGACAAGCAAAAAGAGCACCAGCAAACAGTGAAGAATAACCCGGAGATGGAGTCCTTTAGGCGGTATGACATTGACAAGATGAACATTCCAAACAACTTCTTCGACGTGAAACGCATAAAGAGCACAGTCTATTTCCGGTCGTCTTGACTACGTGACTCCGGTTGTGAAAGACGAGCAATAATCACAATATTTCTTTAACCCTTGCCACGCTGAACACGTGGCCGATCCTTTAAACCAATTAATTATATATCTTTTTTCGTTTTCTAAAAATACACAGGTGTTTTTATGTTATTATTGTTTGTTTGATTTTCGTTTGCTTTCATTTTTTTTGGAATGGGAGGAGAATGGGGATACATTGTCCAATAACGGACTCAAGGGAGGCTATCATTCAGTGGGAATGGTGCATGGATTTAGTGGGCAATCATTAATTTCCAACTTGCCATCCCTGGGCTACGACCGTCCACACTTCGCTAATCACGTTATTTCTCTGCTCGATTCAAATGTGTTCTAGATTATATTTAACAATTGAAGTTTCTTAGCGAGAATTGCATTTTTTATATTTATTTTTTTTAAGCTCGATTCGTGAATTTATTAATTTGCTTGTTTGTCGTGGTCCAACTTCTTTGTTATGAGAATGGGGTTAGGCCTTACATGCGGTGTCCACAGAGTTTTCGCTATTGACTTGATCCCCGGAGGGACAGTATGATAAAGCGGCAGCTCTTCTTTTTAAGTTGCAATCAGATATATATAAGACCACATCATATTAAAATTGAGAAATTTACGCTCAGTCCCTAATAAACATAAAAGGAGCAATATCATTTGAAGTAATGACAAATCCATAACAATTGATTTATTTTTCTAAAAATAAATTTCACTCAAAAAATTTTTTTTTTTTTTTTTTTTTTTTTTTTTTTTTTTTTTTTTTTTTTTTCTTTTTTAAAATTTTTTTTTAAATATTTAAGTTTCTTCTACATTCAGTTCAAATCCTCTAGTCACATAGAGTCAGAATAGCGTTGATAGAGTGCTCATCTACACTTCTGCAATTTTTTTTTCTTCGCGTAATGCATTTTAAGTTTAAAATATTATTTGACGAAGTTGTGCAAAAACTCTTTGAATCTGTATTTTCTTCAAACAATGATAATAGTAGTATATTATAATCTTTTTGTAATGCCAGTCGATTGCAAATTAAGTGAATTTTTAAAGTTATTGAATACCAAAACCCAAGCATAACTCTCAGCCATCTCACTAAAACATGCTTAAAAGTGTATTGTATTATTATTGCATGATTATTTATTTTATTTTCGGCCCTTTTTAAACGCATCCATCGTACATGGAATGTATATGTTTATTCATTTCAATGAAAACAATTGTTATTGTTGTCGTTTTTTTTTAAAAATGTAAATGCTGTTTTGGTAATTTTCTTGCGCCTCTCTTGGACTCAAACAGGTGGGACGGCACTGCTCTAAAGGATTTAAAAAAAAGACAGTTGCTATAAGTTTAAATACATAATATGATTGGGCGGCTTTACTGGGGAGGAATCACACCAGCGAATGTTTCAACCAAACGCTTTTTTTTGGATGTGATACAATTAAGTGATATATCTCCGCTGTATGCACTTCTCTCTGACTAAATGGGTAAGTTCTTACTAAGCTGAACCTAGAAAAGTGTTTTCTTAAGTGCGTCGAATGCAGGCAACCTACCAAGCTTGGATATTAAAAGTAATGAAATGTTATTATTTTTTTAAGATCAATTTTATTATTGAAAGCAATACATTTTTTTTATAAAAGGCAATGAAAAAATTAATTATTTACAATATATGACACTGTATAAGAGATTAAAAAGTCTTTTTGTATAAAAAATGTTACATGAGTAAAAGAAAAAAAATCGACAACATTACCATGACAACCTGCTGCGTGGGACACAACTGCGTGCTGGCGTTATTCTGCTTTAAAATCACCGTAGGCGGGAGTTGCTTTCCTTGGATGATGTCAGCCGCTTTCTCTCCGATGAGGACGGCCAGCGCGTGCGTGCTGGCTGAAACCACGTGAGGCGTGATGGATGCATCCGCGACCCGGAGTCCCACAATCCCCTTCACCCTCAGCTGGGGGTCAACGACGGCGCTGACGTCATCGGCTGACCCCATTTTACAGGTTCCCGTGATGTGATTGAGGCTTCGGGGCCTTGCCTTGATCACACACCGCCAATAATCTTTGGAATCGAACACGAGACTTTCGCAAATCTTCAACGGTTTTGTGTCCACCAGCCTGGCTCCGAGATCCCTCATGGTCTTCGATTTGAGAACGTTCTTGCAGATCTCCACCGCTTCGACCAGGGCTTCCACGTCCTGCGACTCGGCGAAGTAGTTTGGATCTATGATGAAGTTGTTGCCCGTCCTGTTGTTTCGTAGCCTGAGACTCCCTGTGCTCGCTGGCCTCAGGAGCGTCGGATTAAAGGTGAACCCGGAGGTGACGTTGTTACGACTGGACAAGCCGCTGACTGTAGCATCGTCATAGCCGCTCTGTGAAATATGGAACATAGTCAGCTATAAACATAGGAAATTTTAAGCTAGAAACATAGAGCATTGTCAGCTAGCTACTGCGCTTCGTGGATTGTGGAATTGGTACCAATTATAATTTTTTTTTTAAAAATGAATTCACATAATTTGACATATTATTGAAGACTAAAAATCAAACGAAAACAAATTTAAAAGATAACAAACATTCCAGTTTCTAAACAGGGATTAAGACAATTATAAATTGATATAAGTTTTAAATCTCTATTTATTTATTGTTGCAAGTTTTGTCTTGTCTGCTGTAGATGACATTTGGCCGAAATGTCCTTGTAAATGTCCTTATTTTTTTTACGCTCAAACACGTATTGTTCCGATATTGTTTTATTTTGAAAAAACATCAAACAATACTTCGAGAAATAGGGAAAAAGAAGAAAAAATTGGCGTCATCTATTTTTTATTTTTTACAATAACAGCTGTCTGTTAAACGTAAAAAAATGTCTTTCAAATATTGGAATTTGTTTTCTATTGGTTACATTAATATTCTCCAAACAAATTAAAATGCCATAAAGATTGGAAGTTTTACTGGAAAAGATATTGTATAATAGAAAATATATGTTACCCCTAACATTGCCGCCGTACCGGAGACCGAGAGTGACACCAGGATCATTAGGTCCGGCCACGCCAACCTCCTCGCCTCGTCTGTGCTCCCCACGTAAAACACGACTCCAGAATCAGACACGGAGAGCGGTCCGGTCTTCAGCGTCGCATACTCACCCAACGCCCAAGTAGACGTCAGGACCCCGGCGGGTGTGCCGATGGGCTTGTCGATGGCCATAGCCAGGTCGAACATGACCTGATCGTGGAGGCTCTGGCCGACGGGGGAGTCGACAACGACCGGGATGTTCAACTGCTCCAGGTGCTTCCGGGGACCGATCCCCGACAGCATCAACAGCTGGGCCGAGCCCAGGCTTCCGGCCGAGAGGACGACCTCCCTGTTGGCTTTCACGATGTACGTCTGGCCGCCTTTCTGCATCTGAACGCCTACGGCTTTCTTGTTGGCGATGACGACTTTTTCAACCAACGCGTGGACGACGACGTCCAGGTTGGCGCGTCCGAGAAACGGGTGGATGTAGGCCTTGGACGTGCTGACCCTCTCACCGTTCTCGGTGTTGAGCTGGGTGCGGGACGAGCCGAGAACAGACTCGCCGTTGTGATCCTCGTTGTACTCGATTCCACTTTCCCGCAGCGCGTCCAGAATCTTGTCGGTCAGCCCGTAGATCGGGCACGACCTGGTCACGCTCAGGGGGCCGTCGGACCCACGGTAGACGGATGTCTTCAGCTCCGGGTTCGTGACTCTCTCCAGTCTCTTGAAATACGACAGGATGTGGTCGTAGTTCCAGGCGTCGTCCTTGACGGTCTCAGCCCACTTGTCGAAGTCCTGTTTGCTCCCACGTTGGTAAGCTAGGTTGTTGTTGCTGCTGCAGCCACCGAGCACAGCTCCACGGAGCCAGTTGGTCTGACCATTTTTCAAACTTTTATATTTGTCGGGCATGGGTTCTGAAAAAAAAGGAGGATTTTTTATTGTCAAATTTGAAATTTTGTCTTATTGTTGTCCTTAGTATCTCACCTTATAACCCTGATGGATCAGTTAACAATAATAAGAATTAGATACAGAATTTTGTATTTTTTTCAACTCTCTTTTTCTCAAATTGGTAGACACGGAATACATTTTTTGGGGGTTGAATCAACATATTTTTAAATAATAACATTGAATTTGATACCTAACACGTTCAAAAATGTATGTATGCTTAGCCTTTAAAGTGCCCCTGCTTTAGCATTTCATTTAGCCAATGCTGAGTATGCTAAAGCCTAAATTTATCTACAGACATCAAGCTACGTCTTGGTAAGTTAAATAAATACATACATATATAAAAACAAGGTGTTCAAGTTTTCGAAAGAAAGTGTTTCAAATTTGATTGTTAGGAAAAAAAATGTGTCATAACTTCTAGATTTTTTTTTTCCTGTGTGGGGGGGGGGGGGGGGGGCGCTCAGTTGTACCGTATGCAAGGGTCATTCCTTCAAAGTCTAAATTGCGGATCTCTTGGCCTTGCGGCTCTTTCATTTATTTAACCGATCTTCCCGCTATGGCCAGACACAAAGGGAGATATCACAGGCCACCCATGAAGGTTTGACCACCTGACGGGCAAAGATACCACATTTTGATCTCAGTAAAAGGCCGAGTAGCGATCTTATTTTTTTAAGGGTTCCCCACAAGTACTGCAATACTGGGGTAGTCCCTTAAGAGTATGCCCTTGCGGGTCTCTTGGACTTGCAACTGGGGTAGTCCCTTAAGAGTATGCCCTTGATGGTCTCTTGGACTTGCAACTGGGGTAGTCCCTTAAGAGTATGCCCTTGCGGGTCTCTTGGTCTTGCAACTGGGGTAGTCCCTTAAGAGTATGCCCTTGCGGGTCTCTTGGTCTTGCAACTGGGGTAGTCCCTTAAGAGTATGCCCTTGCGGGTCTCTTGGACTTGCAACTCTCTCAACTGTTCCACTGATCGTCCTGACCCCTGACGAAGAGCAAGCAAGATATCACAGTCCTCTCACGAGTTTGGCTACACGGTGCAATGAGATCAGACTCTTCACCTTGATCTTATCCAAAAGGTCGAGAGGCGCTTAGATTTTGTTCTGGGCTTATCCAGCCAACCTCCCTGTTATATGTTGTATATGTCTTTTAATATTTTGCATAGAGTATATTTTGAAAAGCTGTAAATACGTTGAATAGCTTTTTATATTTATCAAAATTTCTTAAAAGTTTAAAAGCAGCACAGTATTTATATTTTCATATCTGTATTTTTTTTTTATAGCTACAGTCCTGCAATGCTGCAACTGTCCTTTGTATAGCATGTAACAGTCCCTTTTCTACAAGTTGTATCGAAGAAAAGTAATGCTGCCTTATCATTACGTTCTATTTATTTCTCTCACAGAGTTGTGGGCTGTTCTTTTTTTTTTCCTGCCCTTCTTAATAAGGCTGGAATGACAAGCAGCACTCCACCCCAAATCTCTCCCCAACCCTTTTCCTTAATATTCCACTTTCCACTAGCTCACCTCGCAGGGTACACACAACGCCCGCTTACCTGAGCTGTAGGTCAATGAGATGTTTGGGTTGAGCCAGGCCCTCCTGGCGTACCCGGGCACGGAGATGTCCTGAATGCCCCTGTCGTCCCCACCTTGCTCCAACAGCAGCACCGTGACGCCCGCATCCTCTGACAAACGACTGGCTACCACGGCGCCCGCAGACCCCGAGCCCACTGTAGATGGAAAATCACCAAAAAAAAATGGTGTGATTGTCTACAAATACTCAATATAGACGTACGGAGAGATATACAAAAAAAAAAAAAACAACTGGAACAGAAATGTTTTGTTATTTGTTTTGTTGGGTTTTTTTTGTTGGTTTTTTTTTTATTTATCCATTCCCCCCCCCCCAAATGTAACAGATGGTCTAAATCAATGGCCAGCAAATCGCGACCCACAAGCCGCATGCGGCTCTTTAGCGACCTGCGTGCGGCTCGGCCAGCCGACAGGTTCTTGAATAGAAATTAGGCTCTCCAAAAATGTTAATCGTCCTGCTGCTGATTTTGTTGTTTGGGCTCTTTTGACGAATGAATTTGCCGAACACTGGTCTAAACTTTGCACCTTGAATTCCTCACATTTCCTAGTAAGATGAACATTAATTTATTTGCAGGCAAACCGTGTAGTCGAGCAATTTTTGTCTTTATTTTTTCCATCTCACAAATTCGGGACGCCGACATGTCTCTTGAATAATTTTAGATGTAGCTCAGATATCATGCGCCGCAAGTCGAGATATTTCACTAACCACAAGACTACACTGGACCTTTCTTGGAGGGGGGGGGGGGGGGGGACGGAGGGGAAAAACAATCAGATGAAATATGGGACGAGGACTAAACGTGAAGCTTGTGTTTGATCAGTTCCTCTCTTGGAGCCGAGTCATTCAAAAAAAATTTCAAAATAAAATTGCGCTTATAGGTGGTGTTGTCTTCATTTGTACTTGCTTAAGGAGTAGCCGAGTTCATCTTTGAAATGTAGTCCATTAAATTTTTGTGAGACGTTGTTTTTTTTTATTCTACCGGCCAGACCCACCCCCCATTCAGGGCCGCCACCACCAATGCTCCCCTCTAAGGTTTGTTGGTTCGTGTGAAAAATCATAAAGTTGTATGCAAATTTTTACAGCATCAATTTTTTGTGCGCAAAATTTTACAGCCTATAGACAAAAAACACACTCTTAAGTGAAAAAATTAGCTGCGCGGTATTCAAAACTGCTGCGCGGCGTCTGTGAGATTACTGCGTGGCCGCGCAGCCGCGCAGCTTAAAGGAAACATTGGCCACCACCCGTATGCTTTCAACCAAACTAAAAAAAAAAAACAATTTTTAATTACATTAATAATAATAATAATAATCGTAATCTTTAAAATATTTTGATCTCTATATATTGTATTTTTGGAAGAATAAGTAAAAATATATAAAAAATTCGTCTTTTAGCGTCTTCGACAAAAATTTTTAAAATGATCAGTGATATTCAAATAATGTGACTTCAACATAAAATTATGTACAGGAAATATGTTCTGCTTTCGAAAATAAGACTGATAATAAGTGAGGAGTGCAAGTGGAATAAGAGATCATTTACTGATAGATAAGCATTTTTTTTAAATACTAAAAAAAAAAAATTATAAAATCAGAAAACGCAACAGCGTAACTTCTTGATAAAACACATCCCAACGTGATTTTTTTTTTTTTGATCCGTGGTTTTCCTAATAAATAGGCCAAGTCAGCCTATTAGTCAGCTGAGTAGATCCAGGCATGATGGCTAGCTTGACAACAAATGAAATGAAAGGTTCTGCTATGAACTGACACTTACCTACAATGAAATCGTAGGAATCCCTGGGAAAATCCGTTAAATCTTTTCCCGCCGCTGCCAACGTCGTCACGGCCAGTACAATCAGCGCCATCGTTGATGACGTCATATTTAACAACTTTTTAATTGATTTATTAATTGATTTTTTTTTTTAAATTGCTGTATCTGTTTAAAACCTGTTCAGTTATGGAATATATCAATAGAAATTCATTTTAATTTAAGAAACATTGTTTGGCTTCAGGATACGAGCAACCTTTTATATCTCAAACTCAAAAGCACCCCCCCCCCCAACCTCTCCGAACGCGGTCTCTCCACCTCAACACTAGAGACCGACACCACATCAACACTTTCGCTGACTTTCATCGCCCGGCACTTTTACTTAGTAAAACGTTGGTGTTGTGTTCCAAGGAGTGCACACCCCTTGCCGTTAGCGTCACGTTCACGTGACGTCGTGACTTCGTGGTGGCATGCCTTCCATGTGCCTGTCTATAATGATCTCATGTAACAAACTAATGTCCTGTAACAAATTTAAGCTGCGTCATTTTAGATTCAATCTGTGTAACTCAAATGATAATGGGATTCCCGGGTTACTGTTTCGCCACCGATCATTGGTTGTGATAATGGGATTCCCGGGTTACTGTTTCGCCACCGACCATTGGTTGTGATAATGGGATTCCCGGGTTACTGTTTCGCCACCGACCATTGGTTGTGATAATGGGATTCCCGGGTTACTGTTTCGCCACCGACCATTGGTTGTGATAATGGGATTCCCCGGTTACTGTTTCGCCACCGACCATTGGTTGTGATAATGGGATTCCCCGGTTACTGTTTCGCCACCGACCATTGGTTGTGATAATGGGATTCCCCGGTTACTGTTTCGCCACCGACCATTGGTTGTTGTAGTTTGTTTTGTTTTTTTTAAACCTTAACTTTTTATTAACATTAAATATTTTTTTTTATATTTTAAATATAAAGAACCACAGGGGACTCGAATTGACGGGGAATGGAGAGGTCATCAGTTCTGTTGTCAAAGCAGACTTCTGTCATCTGCGTGCCCTGGGTCAGCTGCAGTGGCGTAGCGAGGGTGTTTGGCGCCCGGGGACAAGATTCGCGCCCGGGGACAAGATTCGCGCCCGGGGACAAGATCCATTTTTAGCGCCCTTTTTCTTTTTTTCAACTCTCAAACCCATTATTTTCATCAATAAAATAATATCAAAGCACATTTTGGCGCCCCTGACTAGCTGGGGCCCGGGGACATCTGTCCCCCTGCCCACACCACGCTACGCCTCTGGTCAGCTGCGTCCTCAAGTCACTAGGAGAACAGCCAATGCTGTAGCAGTAACTCTAATCCAGTCAAGATTAGATTACTGTAATCGCCGTTTGTGGGGTTCGCCTCAGAACCAAATTCAGAGACTCCAAAAGATACAAAATACTGCAGCACACATTGTACCGCAGATGGAAAAAATCTGTATGGACTATGTCGAAATGTCTATGTCTTTAAAACCCCATAACTGGTTTATACCAGTATTCTATAAACCCATCACCCGTTCTAGAACCGGATTTCTTTAAACAGTTAAGTGGTTTGCGAATTACAAAAAAAATTCCTATTGACAGTCACTCTTGTAACGCTGAGATAAAAGCAGTCAAATTCGTACTAGGTCAGCCTGTCCGTTTTATACATAGATGGAACTTGGGCATGTGACAAGGTCAAAGCGTACCATGACCATGCTACTTGCTTATCATGCCACCGTCCTTGACCCACCTGCACACATCTACATCTCATCTTAAACATGTTTTTTTTTCCGTCATGGAGAGTTCACGAAGTCAGCTCCTAGAGCAGAGATGTCAAATTTGCCACCGTTTGCCCTCGTGCCGTCTACCGCGGCCACCTTCAAGTCTTGCACTTCTTGTGATAATGAATCAAGGCTTACCGGGAAATTTGTTTGAAAGAAATGTCGTCGAGCAAATAATTAGTCGAAGTTTGGTCGAACGGAAATTTAATGGAATTTTGACTTCAGTTCACACGATCTAATTTAGTGTCAAATTCCTTTTTGGACGCATTATTTTGTTTCAGTATATAGCAGAGTGCGTTCAAAAGAAAAAACGCGAAGTACAGAAAAGGACTAACAACATATTTGGATAATTGACGATTTTCGCTATTTTTTTTACCCTTAGCCCCTCCCCACACCCTCTTTCTTAAAAGATGAGTTGAAGCATGATATTAGCCCACCTGGGCTCATCAAACTCCCGGCCTTAACGTAGATTGATTTGTGAAGACTCCCACCCGCTGCCCCCTACAGGGCTTAGACGGTTGACAATTTTCGTCTCAGTGAGTAATCCGTCTTTGAATCCGCGGTGACGTCAAATGAAGAACCAAGAATCTCATAAAATGATGACGGGTGTATAAGTGGACCGTCGAAAAAAGGGTGGGGGATGCTGGACGGTGCCACCCCTGCCATGAATTGATCAAAATAAAATCATAAAACTCATTTCAAATATTTTTCTAAAAATAATTTTAAAAAGAAAAAAACAATTAAATTAAAAAAAAAAAACTACTTACTTTATGAGCAGCGATTGATGATTTCTATCTAGTCCGTGCAATCAAAAGAGATATCTCAGAACAGCTTGGCCAGGAAAGAATGGCTGGCCGGAAACGTAGCACCACAGAATGTCGTCTGGTAACAGATTTTTATGTTGACCTTATCTCACACCCCTGGATGAAAGTACTGAGATTTAAAAAAAAAAAAAAACGATTTTAAGTTCTAGGATTTTCTTCTGATGGTTTTCTTCATTTCATTTCCCGGACCTATAACATACTGCACACACACACACACAGTGGTGGTGATTTGCTGCCTGGAAGGGTTCTTATTCAGGTCAAAGTTTAAAAGTTCTCTTAGCAAACATGTCGGGTGGCTAGTGTGTGCGAGTGTGTGTGAGTGTGTATAGGAGGAGTGTGTAATGTGTGTGTCGGGGGGGGGGTAACAGTCCGACAGTGGGTGTTTGTTTGCGTTTACGCGCGTGTGTAGGTCGGGTGGCAAATGCGTGTAGGTGGGTGTAGGTAAAGTGCGTGTTTATGTCCAACGGTGGGTGTGTGTGTACGTGACCGCGTGCGAGTGGGCCTGGTGGCGAGTGTGTGGCTTAACAATAAATGGTATTGTAAAAAAAAAAAAAAAATTTAAAAAAAATTATGCAGTTGCGTATTCCTCTATAAATAAATGAGTCATGGGGGAGAAGGGGTGGGGTGGGGGGTAAGGTAAGTTGCTTAAAGGCGCCATGAGCTCTTTCTGTCCATTTATTTTAATGACAGGGGAAACACCTTGGGATATTTTAAATGAATAGCAGTGTGTGGTAAATATAAAAGAAAATATATGTATTGTTCACGACTCTTTAGCGAGTGCCGTAATGTAAATAATTTTGAAATGAAGTGCACTGTCTTGTAATGTTTCATATTGTTTATTTGTGTACGGTATTGTAGTGTTTCCTATTTTACAATTGTGTACGGTTTTGTATTTTTTCCTAATGTAGGCCTACATGTGTGCACTGTTTTGCAGTGTTTCCTATTGTACACTCGTGCACTGTCATGGAATGTTTACTATTTTACATTTGCGTACTGTTTTGTATTGTTTCCTATTGTACATGTGTGCACTGTTTTGTAATAATGTTTCCTATTGTACTTGTGTGCACTGTTTTGTAATAATGTTTCCTATTGTACTTGTGTGCACTGTTTTGTATTGTTTCCTATTGTACTTGTGTGCACTGTTTTGTATTGTTTCCTATTGTACATGTGTGCACTGTTTTGTATTGTTTCCTATTGTACATGTGTGCACTGTTTTGTATTGTTTCCTATTGTATATGTGTGCACTGTTTTGTATTTTTACTATTGTATATGTGTGCACTGTTTTGTATTGTTTCCTATTGTACTTGTGTGCACTGTTTTGTATTGTTTCCTATTGTACATGTGTGCACTGTTTTGTATTTTTTACTATTGTATATGTGTGCACTGTTTTGTATTGTTTCCTATTGTACATGTGTGCACTGTTTTGTATTGTTTCCTATTGTACATGTGTGCACTGTTTTGTAATAATGTTTTCTATTGTACTTGTGTGCACTTTTTGTAATGGATGATATTCTAGTCTACACTTACAAGGTTTTCACATTCACGCACAACAAAATAAATAAAGTCAATGAAGTCAAACATATGTAGTGAATTTGACGTGGTTATGCGTTTTATACCCAAATATGGATATGACGTCACTTAGTCTATTTTTATCCACTGCTTGATATCCTGTCCCTGTGATCAAATGCGTCAGATAAACTGCTTCCGGTTTAAATAACCTAGAAAAATCGCCCCTTCTTTAAAACGCTCCTCTCCATAACAATGAATGCATTACAATCCTGACCCGGTGATATCCCCTTGTGCTACATTCAGGATTGGGTAACAACCGCGTCGGTCAGACATACCGATGTCGGAAATATGTCAAACCAGACATCCTGGATAGGTTAGGTGACAAGCTCCAGTGTTTTAAAAAATTGTCCGGCTTTGTTGACCGACATGCCGACTGGGTCACAGCATTTATGGGAATTTCCTGTAGCTTCACCTTACACACTGAGACTGGTGTCTGAGACAGTGGCATTGGTGTCTGACACAGTGACAGTGGTGTCTGACGCACTGGGTTTGTTTTATCCCCAACCATTGTAGACGTCAAAAATGGAATGTTTTGTTATCATTATCAGCCTTGTACCCATTGTTGTTTGTAGGACTGTTGTATCTATCATTGTATTCGTTGTCGGTGTAATGAATGTCGCATCGTCATTTTGTCCATTGTTATGTAGGACTGTTGTATCCAATCATTGTATCCATTGTTGTTGTAGGAATTTAACATCCGTCATTGTATTCATTGTTGTTGTTGTTAGACAGCTGCTATCAACGTAGAATTCATTGTTGTGGTTAGAGTGTTGCTTTCAGCGTGGTATCCATTGTTGTTGTATGACTGTTGCTACCAGCGTGGCATTCATTGTTGTTGTAGGACTGTTGCTACCAGCGTGGTATTCATTGTTATTGTAGGACTGTTGCTACCAGCGTGGCATTCATCGTTGTTGAAGGACTGTTGCTATCAGCGTGGTATTCATTGGTGTTGTAGGACTGTTGCTACCAGCGTGGCATTCATTGCTGTTGTAGGACTGCTGCTACCAGCGTGGCATTCATTGGTATTGTAGGACTGCTGCTACCAGCGTGGCATTCATTGTTATTGTAGGACTGTTGTTACCAGCGTGGCATTCATTGGTATTGTAGGATTGCTGCTACCAGCTTGGTATTCATTTAGCCGTAGGACAATTCTCGCAGCCATTTAATATCAGACACCGCATTGCATGCACTATGAGTAGCCCAGCGGTTAATGACCTAGCGGCGTATCCCTACTAACAACATAACTCTTGTTTCTCATTACAAAGAGAAAACATAATAATATAATAAAGAAGTTTTAAAAAGTTTCATCACGATCTTGGTATTAACCCCCCGCCCCCCCACACACACACATTTACAGCAAATATTACATCACTTTTTATTCCCCCTGAAGGAGCTGTAAAATTTACACAGCTTGATATAAAAAATTTTTTTTTACAATATTATTGTTTTCCCCCACCAAAGAGTTCCCCATTGATGGTGAGGTTGAAAGTAAATTCATCGATCCAAAATGACGCGTGGTCATAAAGTTGCAGCTGGGAAACACAATTCAACAGCACTTTACAGCCAGTTAAACATTTTTTTTAATGGATTTAGAGCTAAAGTCTCATCGATTACGTCACAAGCCCCAGCTGCTGCAGTCAATAACCGAGCAAAGCTTTAATTATAGTCGAGATAGTGAAGTTTTAGGGTTGTCAAGTAAATGAAAAGCGTAACAACACACATTTTAGACTTGGTTGGGGGGGGGGGACGACAGGACAGTTTAAAGGGCGTAAAGGGTAAATGCCTTCTTCAACAGACAAAGCAAAACAAGATACAACAAACTATGTGACATCAAAAAAACGCACGAGGTCGAAGATCTCAGTGTAGCTCTTTGTTTAGAACCTAAAGCGTTCTATGTTAGAAACGGAAGTTAAGTTGTTAAGTGCACCCACATAACTCTGTGGTGCATTCTATCGCGGTAAAAGAATGTAAGGATTAGAAATGTAACCTTTTATACAACTAAAAAATGAGAATTAAGAACAAATGGAGGGGAATTGATGACCACTAGTGAACGAGCACTTGATTAATTCTATACGATGAAGTGATGCCGAAATTCTGAATTACTTTGTGTTCAATCTTCACCCTCATTGGAGCAAGACATTAGAGCAAGACATTGGAGCAAGACATTGGAGCACAAAAATTAGAGCAAGACATCGGAGCAAGACATTAGAGCAAGACATTAGAGCAAGACTCTAGAGCAAGACATTAGAGCAAGACATTAGAGCAAGACATGACATTAGAGCAAGGCATTAGAGCAAGACATGACATTAGAGCAAGACATTAGAGCAGGACATTAGAACAAGACATTAGAGCAAGACATTAGAGCAAGACATGACAATAGAGCAAGACATGAAATTAGAGCAAGACATTAGAGCAAGACATAGAAGTAAGACATTAGAGCAAGACATTAGAACAAGACATTTGAGCAAGGCATTGGAGCGAGACAGTAGAGCAAGACATTAGAGCAAGACATTGGAACAAGACATTAGAGCAAGATATTGGAGCAAAACATTAGAGCAAGACATTAGAGCAAGACATTAGAGCAAGACATTAGCGCAAGTCATTAGAACAAGACACTGGAGCGAGACATTAGAGCAGGACATTAGAGCAAGACATTAGAGCAAGACATTAGAGCCGTGATGGATGCATCTGATGTGAGGTTGTGTTCATCTCCGTTGAAATCGGTAGAGACCGCGGATGGCATGTTTTATTCAATATCACGAGGATGTTCACCGAACCCATCAGAAAGCCTTTGGGGCGTGTTTTAATGTGTAGCTTGCTTTAATGGTAGATCCATGGTAGGGTCAGATTTAAGCCATAACTTCGGCGATATCAAGAGGTAGTGTTGTTGGCATTGGTGCTGAATTGTTTCAAGCTTCTGAAGCTTCGATAAATTGTACAATGCTGTGAGCTTCTACGGGACAATCTTATTAATACGTAAGATTTAATGAGTCGAGTAGACATTCCGGGGTGGGGGGGGGGGCATTAATAAGGATTTTATGCTTTTAATATAAATGTAGGGCTGGCACAGAATTGGCGCAAATGGTCAGAATCGGCGTAAATTAAGAAGTTGCGCGATAATTAATGAACGACTGGATTAACACTAATAGACGTTCGATCTTACAGCAATGCCAACCTAAGAATGTAAGGCACAGACACCACAGGCATGGATCGCCTTCAAGAGAGGAGAGGGCACACCGCAGGCATGGATCGCCTTCAAGAGAGGAGAGGGCACACCGCAGGCGTGGATCGCCTTCAAGAGAGGAGAGGGCACACCGCAGGCATGGATCGCCTTCAAGAGAGGAGAGGGCACACCGCAGGCATGGATCGCCTTCAAGAGAGGAGAGGGGTGGAGAAAGAGAGGGGAGAGGGGTGAGGGATAGAGGTAGAGGAGACTGAGAGAGGGAGGGAGAGAGAGTGAGTGAGAGAGAGTGAGCGAGGGGGGAGGGAGAGAGAGTGAGAAAGGGGGAGGGAGGGAGAGAGAGAGAGAGAGAGAGAGAGAGAGAGAGAGAGTGGCAGTAAAGAAATAAGAAGGTGATAAAATAATTTTATTTAACACAACCTTTCTTTGTTCGCCGCCCTCCTACATCATTTGAGTTACCCCCCATGGCCCCCTTTCCTTTCATTGATACACGTATATTAACAACTGTTCTTTATTATACATCAATCCTTTTTCATCAAAGCCTTTCTGGCTCCTAATAAATATCCTGGGGGGCTATATAGCCCATGCCGAGGATCTCTGATTTTGGTAAACAGGCAGCTCTTGATAAACGAACGAGTTCCATTCCTACGGGTCTTTCGTTGCATTTTGCGCGTCAAATCACCTAAATGTCCGCTTTTTTTTTTTTATTACGATAAATTCAACGAATGTATCGGTGATTTGTTCATGTGACAAGCGTTGTCTAAGATATGAATTAAAAAAACATTTTATTGTAACGAAACTGCAATTAAAAACAATTTAACAAAAAACAAAAAAGAAACAACTCAACGAGATAAAAAGATTCATGCGTAAACAATTTATCTAGGTCTAGATCATTAGCAAAAGTTGTCACATTTCTAAGTCAGTTAAAAGCAAATGTTCTCAATTCGAACAAGTGATTGTTTCAGTAATTTTTCCCCGGGGGGGGGGGCACTTAAATTTTTTCGGTTGGGGGGGGGGGGCACGGCCAGTTGATTTATTGTTTGACATACTTTTGCTCCGGGGGGGAACTTGGCTTTCCCCGGGGCGGGGACCCCCCCCCCCCCCTGAGATATAGGTGAATGAAACCCTGATTCGAATGTTAGTAGTAGTAGATCAAGTAGTATAATACGATGTAACACGCCTTGCTATTGTACTAAGGCCATCTTGTAACAAGCCGGGTTAAAATGACAACGGTCTGCAATGTTATACCTATAAGTACACTACCACCTCATGCCATCCGTTGTCTCCTATTGTGTAAATGTACGTCAGTCGGTAGGCTGGTAAGTGCGATGAAATATGAATGAATCTCGCCTAAATAATGGATCTCTTGTTTGTTCCACTTCCTTCAACGTGAAATCACAGTTTTTTCAAAACAGAATTAGTCAAAACGGGCTTGTAGCTTGTAAGGGAAATATATCCTTGTCACTATCTCTCTCTCTCTCCTTCTCCCGCTATTAAACACGCCCTTATATAGAGTGGGTTCGATGTCCCAATGTCATGTGGGGTTGAGTATTGACAGGGCTGGCCCCGGGGGGCGCTCCTACGATGAATGACGTCGCAGGTGAGACCGAGATTGCAGTGTTCGTCTGCCGTACTGCACTCGTTAAATCATTGTTTATTATCAGTGTGTCATGTTGTGGTTTGTTCCTAAATAAAATTAACTGGGTTAGCCAGATCCGTGTATTCAGCAGAGCATTGACAGGCCTGGGCTTAGAGGTGGGGAGTTTAACTGTTACACCTCTATATGATAATGATGAACAATGGTGACACGCAACGATAATGTGGGTGACATGCCGTGACGAGATTGGTGACACGCCGTGAAAAACGGGTATACACACTGCGATTATAAACTTGCGACGTCGCACCTCAGGCGATAAGCAATGACAATGTCGCTGACACGCCATGACAATGAAGGTGACACGCCATGACAATGAAGGTGACACGCCATGACAATGAAGGTGACACGCCATGACAATGTCGCTGACACGCCATGACAATGAAGGTGACACGCCATGACAATGAAGGTGACACGCCATGACAATGAAGGTGACACGCCATGACAATGGAGATGACACGCCATGACAATGAAGGTGACACGCCATGACAATGGATATGACACGCCATGANAAGGTGACACGCCATGACAATGAAGGTGACACGCCATGACAATGAAGGTGACACGCCATGACAATGTCGCTGACACGCCATGACAATGAAGGTGACACGCCATGACAATGAAGGTGACACGCCATGACAATGAAGGTGAGACGCCATGACAATGTCGCTGACACGCCATGACAATGAAGGTGACACGCCATGACAATGTTTTTGACACGCCATGACAATGAAGGTGACACGACATGACGGTGAATGTGACACGCCATGACAAAAAAGGTGGCACGCCATAACAATGTAGGTGGCACGCCATGATAAATGAGCTGGCACGCCAGCATGTATGATACCCATCATAAGAGTCTTTGGAACGTTTCTCGTGAATTTTAGTTATTTATTATTATTTTTAAATATAGAAATCGTTCAGTTGTAAGTCATAACATCAGTATGTCTGAGAAAAGTTGTTGAGATTGTTTGCGTGTACTTTTTCACGTTGTTACTATGTCCGTTGTTACGTTGATAATTTTTTCACTTTTTCAAAAGAATGTCACCATTTGTTTTTGTTACGCGATTTTGGGCGGGGGGGGGGGGTGGGTTTCAATGTTTCATAACAATTTTTTTTTTTTTTTTTTTTTTTTTTTTTTTTTTTCACTTTTTCAAAAGAATGTCACCATTTGTTTTTGTTACGCGATTTTGGGCGGGGGGGGGGGTGGGTGGGGTGGAGTCGCGGGCGGGGGAGTTGGTCGCTGGTGACGTGGGGAGGTGGTGGATGGTCAGATTGGATACTAGAATACACAGGTTTGGTTTCTCCCCCACCCACCCAAAAAAATATAAATATATATACATTAACTGAAAGCACAGTTTTGTTCAATGTAGCCGATAAAATAGATGGACTTATAAATAAATGAATTTGATAATATAGTGTTAGTCAATTCGAGCATAATATAAATATGTCTATTGTAGGATTCTGGGATTACGTGGATATAGGATTAACACATGGATAGCATGTAGCAGAGATTCGTGGTTAATAAGAATATAGCAAGATTCAGCGAATATTTAAGTGCAGGTAAATATCAGTGTTTACGTCCTGTACGGATGTCGCTGTTAAGCAGATCGGGCGATTACACCAACACAGGTTTATATTTATGAATAACAGGGACACACGGGTAAACCCACATACTCAATGGGTAGAGGTAGAGTCTGATTTATGTGTAAGGATTGTGCTCTATAAGTTCAGGCGGATGTGAGTGAATGAATGCTGAGCCGTACGGCTGTCGTGGAACAAAATATTACAAAATCTCTCCTCAGGCTAGAGCGTTTTATTTTTCTTCAGCCGATAAAATAACACTGCTTCAAAATAAACATTGAAACAACAAGCTCGTTAATGACAACTGATATATATTTATATATTTATATATTTTTGGCTGTTATTCTGCTTTCAATTTAAACAGTTTAAATAGGTAGTAGGACAAAATATGTTTAGATTTTTTGTTCAAAGGAAAAGAAAAAAAAAGAAAGCAGGACAATTATAAGGACGTTTCGGCCAAATGGCTTCTTCAGCAGACACGACAAAACGTCAATTTCCCTCATCAGTTTCCATTCTTTTGCATTTTTGCTTAAAATATTCATCTTAACTTCAATAATAATCTTCTTATATATTAGAAAATATCGAGATAATATTGGCAGGCAGTTTGCGATAGTTTCCAACTGCTGTTGCAACAAACAAAAAAATAAAAAAAATATCACAAGTCTGCATTTTAAAAAGAAGTATCTATGTAATGAGGTTGACCTTTTCTACCATTATTAAAAGTTTTAAGATGTTTTTTTCTGCTATATATTATTCCCCCCCCCTTTTTTTTCCTAATGCTTTTCGCGTGCCAAACTACAACTTTTTTTTCTATTATCAGTTCCATAAATTAGAAAATCTAAATAATCACTAATTAAATCATTGTTGCCTCTAAAGGAGTTCACTGACGGCTTAGTTTACGCCAGAGAAACACTATAGATGTAATATGGTTTTTTAGTTTTAAATGTTGGGCAAACACTGCTACTTTTCACCCCCCTTAACTAAAAAAAAAATGTCTCTAAAAATTGTAAAATCTTCAAATAAATGTACAACTAAAAACTCTATATACCATATTAAATATATCTTATATTAACGGAATTTGATATTCTGATATCTTTATAAAAATGTAATCTTTATTTTCTACTACATTTATATTGTGGGAAAATATTAAAAAAACAGAGAATTCGTTTAACTAAAGAAGACTTTCTAAGCGTTTTTCACGTCTGTAAGAGCCTTGCGTTTCTTTTTAACAAAAAATGTTATTAATCTCATAACAATACACACCCACTTTACTTTTGCAAAGTAAAAACAAATTTATATTTTCATTTTTTTCAAATAAAATCTCTAACACATCTCTATTTTGCAAAATTAAATGTTTATTTGTTTAAAATTATTTCCCACATGTCAATTTACCCACGATTTGTTAACGCCTTTGATTTTCTTAATTTATTAATAAAACTCCCCTTTATTTGCACTTTATATGTTTTGTTCTTATTTAGATGAGCCATAAGTGAATTAGTGAATGCTATTTGGCTATGGCGATGCGGTGCACTGATTTACTTAAAACGGCATTTTCTAATGAAAATTATATTTACAGCTTAAGTTTTTATTACGTAATAAATTTATCAGATGCATGAAAAAATGTAAACATTTATTAAATGTTTAAAAAAAACGAAGCTTGTTCTAAATTTGGTGTGTTTTTTAACAACTTAAAAAGCAATAAATTAAATTTATTAATTTTTATTTTTAAGAAGGGGAAAATACTTTATACATTTGGTCAAGCGCGGTTATTAAATCAAAGAAACTTAGAGCTTTGGATAAAATAGGCAACAGGCGCTATCACGTCATTTGTGTGTTTATTTAGAACAAATGAATTTCAAATTTATTTCTCAAAATTAACAACGCACAAAAAACGCACTAAAACAACAGATGTTTGGGTTTTCCCAATTAATGTGATTACGGTGTAATTCTTACATCATTTGTTCTAACTTTTTTGGTCATAAATTTTAAACTCTGATAAAATAGTTCCTTTCATTGTTATTTTAAATGTATTTGGAATTTATAATAATGATGCTTAAACATTTATCAAAATAAAAGCGGATACATTATATTTTTTGCGCATTTAAATTTATTCGACTTCCGTAAAATAACAGAAAATAACTATCATTTAAGAATGCTTCGGTTCTTGGCGTTACGGTTAGCCTAGCTCATTCTTATATTACCACGTGTTCGCCTTGAGACTTACGGAAAGCGCACTTTCACATTTGCTGGTCAAACAATTTGGAACGCCCTTCCTGTCGATCTCAGAAACAATCAGACACTGGAGTCCTTTAAAACCGATTTAAAGACACATCTATTTCGCAAACACCTTCTACCATATTTTCCATTTCATGCATATTTACTGTGTTGCTCAGGGTTGAAATGGCTAGAAAGACTTTGCCATCGTATGCTTGTATTTAGTTTTTGTAGTGTTGCGTTTGTTTTAAATGTGGTAAATTATAGATTTGTTTTTTGTTGACTTTGTACCGCGCTTCGAGCCTTTGGGGATGAAGTGTGTTTTTGAAATAGACTTTATTATTATTATTATTATTATTGTATATATATATATATATATATATATATATAT